TGACATGCATTGGTGTGTAACATACATTGGCTTACCTACATATTTGAATGGTGCGCGCTAAATGTATACATAATATCTGACAAGCTTCATGCTCTTCTGGGAAGGAGAGACATGTCACAATGATCGGGGATGTCCATCCATAAGTAGAGCGCTAACCTGCAGCCAGTCCATAAAAGGAAAGAAAAACATTCTACTAGCCCTGCGATTTTTTATGTAAATCTGTGCAGTTATAAAAACCTTTCCCCTGGATAATTCATAATGTGTAATATATTTTCTAATAATTAATGTGAAAATCACTTCATTTTCCCAAAATCATGCATCTTTGTGTGACTGTTTTCCCAAGGTCATAATATTAGGCCAGAGCAGAAAAAAAAGAGGTTGAAAAATCACTGAAACTGACCAATATTAAACATGACTGTTGTAAACAATTGAAGTTTGACTAATGCTGATATATAATATACTTATCCTAGGCATCGGCCTAGTGCAATTCGACTCCTCTGTGAAAGTTACCATACATCCCCTTAAATATTACGCATATATCACTGAAGATAGAGAAGAAAGTGGGATTTTAATTGTTAGAAAATCACTAATTTGTGTATCAGTGAAATTATGTATTTTGACAGATATACCACACGGCAACAAATAAACAAATTAGAATTGAAATTGTTTAAATACTTTATCTCAATATTCACCAATAGAAGTAAATGTTTCGACTGACATGCTGGTCTACACTGTAGGAGTATGTACATTAACACAGATCTATATTTACACCTACCTTGCATACTGGTTCACACAACACTAACCCTACACACAACAACCTGATCAGCTGTCAATCACAAAATATTGGCAGAGGATAACTGCCAGCTTTTCCTAAAAGATTATTCTCAAGCTCTAGTGTTATCAAATTTCAATGATAAAAATGTCAATGGTAACTTTTTGCAGCATCAAATATATTTTGGAATTAAAAGAAATACAAAATAAAAAACAAAATTGCTGTAATATATTTTGTAAATGAATCGGGTTAACGTATTGTTGAACTCATAAATTTCATTTTATATTTTATCAAACTTATAATAAGTAAATCAGAAAGAGAAATCTATTTAAAATGGAGCAAATTTGGTTTCTTGAGTCCATTTAATGAGGGTTTTTGGGCATTGGCCTTAAACACACGTACACACAGAGCATTCATTCAAAAATATCTTCAATTTAAAAAGTGTATTAATATCTTAAGAAATGCATTCTCTGCTAACCATGGGTTCAAATCTGAACATGCAGTAACACTTAAACAGAGTAAAAAAGCCTTGGCCAACAAGATGAAGTACAAAATGTACTGGTACAGTACATTTGTACAGATGTTCTCATTTATTTAACAAATAAAATTAATACAAACTTAAAGAAAATACTACAGGTATAAAAAAAAATCATAACAATGAGCACTATTATGGAGCACTCTCATCGCAGCTGTCTGCAGGTTCAGAGGTAGCAGAAGCCTTGACTGAGGATCTTTACATTATGCAGTGACCTTTGACTTTGTGTGGCAGATTGTAGTATGACAAAGATAAAGTTGTAATTCTTTTTGTAATTTTGATCATGAGTAGATTTCCTCTAATTTGTTCCATCTACCTGTGTTACATACAATATTTTTGGTTCTGAATTTCATCCATACCATTGCAACTAGTACATGTATTTCCTAAATGGGAATTAAACGTCATGATAATCTTCTCTCAACATTTAACAGGAAAAAATGTTACTTGGCATTCATAGTTACCAAAGCGATAGGACACATTCTAAATGGACAAAACCTGACTTGTATCTTGTATTTATTAACACAATAATTGTCCTTGACCACATTTCCATCCTGGGAAGATTAAAACCTTCCCTGCAGACTGTATTGTATATTGATACTGTAGCTCTATATCTCCATACAAACAATGGAACAGACAGATTCATCCTTTTCATTATGTTACAAACTTTCACCAACATCTTTACGGCTAAAATTTCCAAAACATCTCATCAACGGGAGCATACCACAGGATTCCATCACAAGTTAGATAAGCCACTTTACAAAGGCAGCTCAAACTTAACATCCACAGCAGCCTCCTTAGCAATGCTGACAATGTAGGACAGCTTCACCACCTGTAAAACAATCAGGCCAGGTCATACAACAGGTTAACCAATCAGATGAGGCCTTACAACATGTCAACCAATCAGATTAGGCCTTAACAACATGTGAACCAATCTGCGGCCTTAAAAGATGTAAAATAATCAGAAGATTTTACTACTGGTAAAGTAGAAAAAAAGAAGAAGATAAAGTCTTCTAACATGTAAACAAATAAGACAAAAGTCTTACAAAAGGGAAATCAATTCAACAAAGTTGTAAAAAAGGTAAACCATTAAGACAGGGTCTTGTGCATCAAAGTCTTATACATCAAACGTAATAAATAAATTAAACAAGCTGGGACTTTATTTAATATGTAACTTCAAAACTCAAACAAAATCTTACAATTGATCAACCATTTCCTATCAAATAGTGTATTTTAAGTCATTTTGTCAAAGAGATGTTCATAATTCTGCTAAAAATAAAAACAAAGTGACCATGACCTTTGACCTTTTCACCTTGACCATCAAAATCTAATCAAGTGTAGAACTCTATAAAAGTAATACCATACTATGGTGTAAATATAAACTGAATTTGTTGAAGAGTTTGTCAAATATCTTGAACAGAAGCTTTTTACTTCAAAAGTGGTCAAGAGTGATCTTTGCCTTTGACCCTTTAACCTTGACCGATGACCCCCAAAATGGTGCAAATAGCAATAACCGTAATGTGTTCCGGGCTTCCTGATTTCTTGTACACAAGCTTTACCATGGTACTATTTTTAGATAGACGGGCAGACCAACACATGCACTGACACAGCCATTACTATATTATCCCCTTACTAGGTGGAGGTTATAATAAGATACAAAGTTTCCTCTGATTGACAGGTAAGGACAACCTACCATTTTAGCAGCCTCATCTAAGTTATCACAGGCTATAATCTTTAGGTTGCTGGCAGCTATCAGGGCCTTGGCATCTTCCACACGAGTTCCTGTATCACACAACATAAAACATCTGTCACACCAGGCACTGATACATTATAGCTTAATATGGATTCCATTTGATAAATACTACATCAACAATCCATCAACATCGCATCAACCCTGAATTTAAGCAT